GTCTTTGGTTTTGTTTTACATTTATATTTCAATGTTTGCTTCACCTGAAGATATGATGCATGGGTGTGACGGTCTTTATTACAAACTCGGAAAACGCACCACCGAAGGTTTTATTGTTATGTCCCCATAGAATGTCTGGACTTTGAAGAGGCCAAAAGGAAAGATTTTAAATGTACATGCAGTAACTTGAAGATTTGTTCTCCACCTGTGAGCCCAACAGGATTCTCAATTTTTGAAAGACCATTGGTCTCTACAGAAAACTATAAATATCTGCTATTTTATCAATGGAAATGACCGTTTTTACTATTACATTTTTACCATCAAATTTTAGGCGCAATCAAGTGGTTGGTTGGTGGGTGCTCTGGTGTGGTTTGCTCCTTCTTTCCCATCGAATATCTATCATCCTTATCTCCCCTTCTTCTTTTTTATGTTTGTTACTCTCTCGTATCTCGTAACACCTCTAATCCTCTGGCACTCATATGACCTTATGCAGCTGCGAGCGCCGTAAAACCTCTACTAAAACTAAAAAGTAAGACTTAACCCTGATGCGAAAACAAGCAGTGCTGTGAACTAAAGTGAAAACACCCAACTTGTGTCTGGCCTGCTCATAATATGATCTTATGCAGTTGCGAACGCCGTAAAACTCTCACCAAATGCACGTGTTTTTACTCCCCCATCAACACAATTGAGATCATTTAGAATTCTGGCTTATGACCTTGCCTGTCAGATCCAACCCGGGCTGAGAGAGATACAACACCTCAGCAAGAGGACCCGAAACACACGATAAAAATGTGCCCCCTCCTCGAGAATCGAACTCGAATCTCCTGAGTGCTACAGCGAAGCGTCAAATCACAGCACCACAGACGCCGGGGAATTCAAATTGAATAATAATCAATAACTAGTAGTATTGATTAATATCGCTGTTTTGGGTTCCAGGAAATTACACAGACGTCATATTTATTCGTTTCTATTTTAGTTTCAGTTTGAAAGGTCACCTATCTTTGAGGAGAATGTTAATGCTATGTCTTCCTCATCTCTATCCGTATGATTACACAGACATGCCTTTTCATACAATGAAATAGATTTTACGCATACCACTCCCCCCCCCCA